TTACAAAGTAGCCTGAGCTCCCAGGTCTCCTTAATCTTCATAAAATTGCAAGTTAAATTAGTAAAATTACGTATATATATATTTACGTAAACAATATTGAAAATATTTTTTTTGCTTTGAAATTCAAACTTGCCTAATGTAGAATGAATTATTTTTTATGTAAAAACCCCGTTCATTAAATGTAAATGCAAATATTTATGTAAAAATACATTTCTTAGGTACTGCTTCATATTTATTGTGTAACAAAAAGAGTAAGAATTTTCAATAAAAAAAGAAAACTACCCAAAAAATATGTGAAGGTACACAAAATTCCGCATCTCTATCGAAATTTTGAGACATTTTACCAAATTCTGTAATTTTTTTCAATGTATTTTTTTTTAACAGTGTATTCTAAGCTTCCTTGTTTATTAATAAGGCGGATAATGTTTATCACCATGAAAGTTTAAAACAACACCTATTTTTCTCCTACAATGTTCTCTTAACGTGACACTAACACTTTATCATCGTTCGGTTGCCCTACTTCCAATTTATTTGGTGTCAGCGCAATACGTTTTCAGGCTAGCAATTGTAACAAAACAAGCTGTACAAACGTCCAAATGTATGTCCGATAAAAATATGAATATCTAAGAAAAACAAGTAGATTCGAATTCTTTTTATTCAAGTAAGTATCGCGTGTTCTGATTTAGTGGAAGCATTATTATGACTATTCGTTTAAAGATAGTATATTTATAAACATTCCATCCGGGCGTGATGGAGGCGTGGCACTTTATCGTTTTGACGTAAAGGCTTTATGACACCTCGTATTATGTATTTGTAATCGTGGACGTTAATGTATATTACGAAGGCTAGAGCCAGCGTATTTACACTGTAGATTTTTTCATAGTCTAGTTTTTAATAAAGGTCTTTTTGGCGCTCATATTAATTCAATTCATTCATTTATTTGCATCACAAATTAATACAATTAATAATAAGCAGACATAAATGATTATGAGTTTAACAGTTCTTAAATAACCAGTATGAACTACAATCATTAGTGAGTGACAGTGATGAAAATAGGCAGAAGCTCAGCAGTGTTTTTGCCTTAATAGACAAAATGCTGATTTTCAGCAACTGCCCGTAGGAAACGCGAGGATGTAGGTACGCTACAAAGCTGGCATTGTAATTCCCTAGTCCCACACAAGCACAATACACGAACATCATTTACTTCATTATTAATTTACCAAGCAATATTTCTTAATAAAATTTTTTAAATAAAAATAAATATGTCATTAAAAAACAAAATTGTGTAGACAATATTAAATAAATATGTGTAAGTAATAATATAAAATATAAATTTTAATTTGAATGTGAAGAAGATTGAATGCTAACAGAAGAACCTCCACCAAAACGACAATTAGTGTGTATGCATAAAGTTTGCAAATTCAGTAAGGCTAATTTAACTTGCTTTTTGAAGGTGTACCTTGATATTACGTGTCTTATAGGAGGAGGTAAATATTATAAGCCTATTTGATTCCCGTTAAGAGAAAGGCGCCTCCTGGACAGACAGTATGCTTATGTTTGATTAAATATAATGACAACGAAGTATTGTGATGTGTTATTTATCGCCATTATGTTCCTGATATCTCCACCTGTCTAAACTGACCGTTTTGATAACTCAGTTCAATAAACATTTTGATTAATCGTTCCGCAATGCGCATTGTTACCATTACTATTGAAGTAATACAATGTATGCAAAATTGTATAAGCTATGGCATTTTAATTTAGTAAAGCTTAGCTTAGCTTTGTATCTTTTTAAGGCTCCCTACCCAAAAGGGTAAAAACGCAACTTTCACAATCTTGGCGGCTTGGGGTGATATATTAGGTAAACCAAAAATTTTTTAAACAAAGTTTCTAACTACGAAAAACTTGAAGTTGCGACGGACCTTGGAGCTGACTCGGTTCCGCTCTGGCAATTCTTTCCGTATGGGATAAGGCCGTGAATGGGCTGTTTCCTTATGTTTTTTTTTGAAGACGAAATTGCAGAAGCATTCCTTTTTTATGGTCCATTATCGTAATCCTAGCGGAACGGCTCATCACTGTCATGCTTGGTATACTATTGCATTCTCAGAACAAGTATTAAAGCATAAAAGGAATTCTATGACGTTTGAGCGTACACTCCCAATACGAGTGCCAATGGAATTCCTGAAAAGATTACAACGATATTAAATACCCTAGTTAGATACACAAACACGAACAAAATCGTGACCGAAACCTGTCCAAAATGTACATTGAACGATCCACTGAGCTCCGTAAGATGATCGCGTAGTCAAAAACAATATAAGGCATTATTTAAACATTGAAAGTCACCTTTAATGCAAACTGTATAAGGTCTTAATTAAAACGCATGCGTCATTAATTATTATCATCTTTACAGGATGTTTCTTCTAGGATGTCAAGCCAGTGCGAGCTGACAGCGGAGTACCATACCTATCAATTGAAACCCCATGTATGTTCTACGATTTTGCGTAGTTTTCTAGTTAGAATTTTTTTCGTTAATTTTTAAGTTCAACGATAAGACAACTTTAAAAAAGTATAACTTCTTTTTGGGTCGATTTTTCTTCGAAATTCTTTTTTTAACGGAATGCCTAGTGATTGTAGTTTTATAAGAAAAATAATCTCCTTCCTAACTTTAACCTAAGATATAAAAAATTTGATCGATACTAAATAAAAATGAATTAAGTAAAACAGAATGGATTTTCAATTGAAATAAAAAAAATGAAAATAGATGTTCCATAACATCTGACTAATTTTAAAAACTGCCCAACTACATAAGCTTTAATTAAAATACAAAAAAAGATGTACTAAATACGGCATTATTTGCTGAAATCTGTTGTTGAAGGTGTTGTATCGGAAATCGAGTAATTTTAATATTTTATAATTTCATAGTATCTTTGCATATTTTGTTAATCTTAAGTTTTTACATACATGGGGGTTGAATTGATAGGTATGGTACTCCGCTATCACCTCTCACTTGCTTGACACCCTAGAAGAAACATTCTGTATATAGTCCTTTTAACGCATCGGTATTTAATATCGTTGAAAGACTATGTGTAAATTTAATGGAGTCCAGTACGCCCGAATTTGGGTAGGTTTCCTTTTGTTTACCCGACACCGTCTTCCAGTCCGTATTCCAGTGTAAATATTGCTTTGGGTGTTCGAATTCGAGTAATATCTTTCGTGCACCCGAATATGGTCTAACAACCAAACGTTGTTGCATAATTTAAATCTGCAAACACCGTCTCATAAAATTGTTGGTGACTGAAGCTAAGTTTTTATACTTCAACCAAAGGTCTTTTTTTATTTTAATAGTTGCTTTTTTGTTTTTGCCTAATTCTTTTACTTCCATTCTAATAGATATGACAGCACATACATACATATTGATATAATCCCTGCTGGATAGTTTAGTTTTACTTTAGAATGTTCCTAAATAAAATTGGATTGTCCGGATATACCGAAGTACTGGGAGAAATGAAAATGAATCATTCCTATTCTTTACCAAGTATATAGGTGTAAAAAAACATCATTGGGAAGTCGACTGACAAAACCGTATGGAACGTGACGGCCATTCAGTAATAGCGTTTATTTCACAAAATATTCACGGTCGCCGGCTGAGTTGTTTTCATTCGGAACACAAAGGAGATAGCGTGATGAAATTTAAATGAACCGTACTTCGACAAAAAAGGAATGGAGTCTGAGAGTCTCCGAGAGCAAAGATACTATAGAAACCTGCTTCGCGCGTCTTCGTGTTGAATAATAGAACATTTGATTCAACAGGGTCGAAATGAACAAGGCTTTTACGTACATTGTAATGTTTATTTTAAATGACATTATGTTAGTGGGAACTTTAGCGGATGTGTGAAAAAAAATGGTGGTGGCACTCCCGCCGGCAGAAATGAACACGTAGAACTGAAAACGTAGCTCTAATAATGCTCTCTAAACGTCAATAAATAAATAAAGTTTCGTGCATTAACCCGTAAAAACTAGTTTTATTTAATGCTCGTCTGCTTGGGTTATTAGAGTTGTAGGATTTGGTATAAGTAAATAAGAAGAAAGAATTATCTTCTCGTATTTTGTATGTTTTTTGTTGACAGTTAATTTGTAACAGTGACAGTATCAAAAATATATTTTATAAAACCATAAACTAAAGGAAAAGTTTTAATGAAATTAAACAAGAACTAAAAACAATAAAAAGAAGCAAAATGTAAACAAATACAAGAAACTAAACAAAATAAAAAAAACTTGTCTCAAATAATGCCCAACGCGCCCAAAGAAGTTTTCAATTCAAAAATAATCTTTTGCATGGATGTTGCTAAGTCCTGTAATGAAATGACAGAATAAAAAAAGCTGTGTGAACCTAGCACCCGACTTAAGAAAATATTTTTTTTTTCTTAACGATTCTTAAAGACTTTCGTATGTAGTTGATTGCAGTAAAAATTATTTCGTGTGTAGTTGCTTCAAAAAAAGTTATGGGACTTCGAAAAATCGTTAGCACCCCGATTCGCCCAAACTCATTTTTTTTTTATTGATTCGTATCGAGAATCGTTTGTAAGTACAATCAACTAAACACGAAGTAAAGAAGAATCGTTAAGAAAAAAATTGATTTTCCAAAGTCGGGTGCTAGGTTCACACAGCTAATAAAAAAAGAAGTATTTCGCTATTGAAATGTCTAAAAACCAGTGTTCGTGAATTTTGAAAACCAATAAAAATTATAAGAAAGCGTTATAGTAGCTGATATTTTTGTGGTTTTAATTTACACTGATTACAACTAGCCCATAAAATAAAATAAAAATATTGCAATAGATAGATCATTCGCGTTTTGAGCCTCCCGAATAAAGTGTTTTGAACGAATCAAGTTTTGAGTACCGCAACGAACCGTTACCAAATTCACATTTACTGATCTGGCATACTCCTTGAGTAGGCTTTATGGAATGGGTCTTAAGGTGTATATTGCTTTGTTCCAGATGCGAGCAGGGGGTCGCGGAGTAGCAATCTCTTGCGTATGCGCAGATCGCAGCTCGGAAAGTCGGCACCGACGCTATCCGTCCACGTGGTGAGTAATACTAGATATACTTTAAATTAAGGCCTACTAGCTTTGGTGGAACCAAAGTAAAAGCTAATCAAGTTTAAACCTTATTCTATATCTATTTATTTGACTTTAAACAATAGGAATGTTGACCAAAACATCATCATTTTTTATTTTTCATTGACTTTTTACTTTTTTAGTATCTATTTTTTCTTTGAAAGCAAAAGATCCCAGGTCCATACAGCCAATCAAATTATTATATTAATTACTGCGTGACTGAACGTTTCAATGACCTTTGTTTTTAAGTGAATATATGGTTGGAATGGTTTAAAAACAACGCTTTCTTTTATGTTGTGACTTGTACATGTGTTCGTAGTAATTTCTATTTCTTGTTCATAATTATTGTGTATATAACTCCAAACAGGCCCTGCCAGAATATCAGCGCTGGTGCGACACAATGTCGCATTGGCTAATGCTGAGGCAGGGTCCTGTTGCCTAACTGGATTGCTTTGGAAAACGCTATCGCTTACGATTTCATTTTGTTATTTCTGACCGCCGAAGGTTTTCAAATACCTCACGCTCATTTTTTTAATATTGTTATTACCAATGCAAAAAAAAAAAGAGCGCGAGGCAGTTGAAAACCTCAGTTGGCTAGAAATAACAAAATGAAATCGTAAGCGATAGCGTTTTCCAAAGCAATCCGGTTAGGCGATTGGCCCCCTGGTTAGCCAGTACCTTTTTATCATGTTGTGTTTCTTATAAAAATTATTTTCTTTCTTTCTTTCACAATGATAAAGCGCGACAAAGTTATGAGTGGGGTTCGTGACGTCCCATTTTAGTATAAATTGTACGAAAATGTGACGTAACGCGACATTTCAAATAAATATATCTATGTACTTACTCTTTTCATTGTGCGAAAAAATAAAAAATATGTGTCCAATACTTTTTGCAAATCTACCCAATAGATGAAGAAAAAGATGTTAGTCATCACCATCATCATCAAATTAAGAATGTGGGTGCATGTTGCCCTTACATGAAATCGATGAGAGAATTACATATTTTTTTAATCAAAGTAGGACTAGTAGGTGTAGAACAGCGAAGAGGGTTTAAGCCCAGAAAGAGGTTAGAAGGGCCTTGTGGGCGGGGCAGGCGCGTCAAAGTTATGTGCGAGCAAATGCTCATAACATGACAAATTTTGGTCTTTAATGCGTCGTTGCTCTCGGTTGTGAGCACTGATTGGTTCAATTGTTTGATAACGCCCCGTTAGATTGGCTATTATCTGTTAGGTGGAAGTGCAGTAGCGGCGAGCCGCCGGCATCAGTTCCCGTACAAACGGTCTATGATCACCCTTCTAACCTCTTTCTGAGTTCTGTGGGTTTAAGCATCTCAATATCCACAAAAGAGGAGCTCTGTAGTGCTGTGGGGGTGGAATGAGATCATTGAATTATAATTTATCCAGCTTCTTACAGTTCGAAACACATCTTAGGGCACCATGCTTAAGATGTTTTCCTCTTGTGCGTTAGTTTTTTGTTTAATAATAATTGTATCTAGGTATATTGTAAAGCAATTATAACTGGGTATCCGTAAGAAATGTCCCGGAAATAGTCATGTTAATGTATCGACCAAAAACTCCCTCGTCTGCGCAGGCAGGCCATAAGAGTAAAATTCGGTTTACATTGGATTAACTAGATTAAAGAGATTGTGATTATGGCAGAGCTTAGGAAAACTGTGCTACGTACGTTTTCTGATAATCTCAGCGATGACACGGTCACCTTAGTTCTGGCTGATAAACATGTATTACATATTATATAACCATCTAACTGTAGCTACAATTCCAACGCGTACAAAGAAATTTGGCGACTCATTTCTTTGTCGCACTATCCGTAAATGGAATAATGCTCTGCCCGCTCACGTGATCCCTCTTACAATCTGGGATCCTTTAAAAGAGGCGTGAAGAAGCAACATGCAGGCCGGCAGGGTGAGGATGGCTGGTGTGGCAGGTAGAACTGCTGTATCAGCTATCTTCGCGTCTGGACTTCACCATCACTAAACATCAGGTAGGGTGGAGTTATTAGTCGGACCTATAGACTATAAAAAAAAATATTTCAGCTTTTAAGTGTTAGGTTTTTATATTTAAAGAATCTATAATTAATTATAGTTTGAATGCAGTGGTGCTGCCTAGCAGCCTAAGAAATTCGACACGTCTAGTCTTTCTAGTCTGGTCTCCACCTAACTTAATGCAGCAAGTGACGGTGGAGTCCAGATACGAAGGTAGGTGATACAACTGTTTTACTTGGCACAACAAACATTCTCAAGTTGCCGGCCTGCAAGTTGCTCCTTCACACGCCACTATCAACGTACCTACCCAGAATTGAATGAGAAAACACGTGAGCGGGCAAAGCATTCTATTTGCAAATAGTGTTACAACAAAGACATCAGGCACCTGGGAAAAGTTTGTGTTTTCCTGGTAGAAGTAGTCTTAAGAATGTGTTGTTATTGTATATGACGACCTCCGTGACCAAGTGGTTTGTACGCCGAGTTTCATGGTATCACCGACTCGAGAGGTCCCGGGTTCGAATCCCGGTGGGGGCAGATGTTTGTGTGATGAATACGAGCATTTGTTCTCCAGTCATGGATGTTGAATATGAATTTCTATATAAATATTCTTATATATGTATTCACTCCGTTACCCTAGCATCCCATAACACAAGCCTTACATTGCTTCCTTTGGGGCTAGGCTAATTGGTGTGAGTGTTGGAAATATTTATTTATTTATTATTTTTTGTTGCAGAAAGAGCCATGCACAGCTTCGCGACGTCCCTCCCGGCTGCCGCCGCCGCCCCCACACCACAGACTTTCACTCGTGGTAAGTCCCACACATGGGAAACCTGCTCTGTCTTATGTTTCGTTTGAGCGAGCAACTTCAAAGCGTTCGAAAATGTAACTCAGTAGATCCCATTCCACTAATGGTCTGTGAGTGTGGTTCAGCATACAAACTGCTTAAAAACTTAAATATATCGTTTTTATATGTTACTTAATCGCGACGACTGGGATTTGGTTTAAAGGTACACGAGAAGAATAATTTATCACACGGAGCAGGTATCTTTGTTTTTTCTAACGACGACTTCACGACGCAAGTGTTCTTCAAATTTTAAGGTTTTGTATCCTCCAAACAAGTTCCTACTATCTCATTACTTTCTTCACTGCAAAATATTAAGGCTCATAGCGCACCTAACTCACCCGGCACCCGACCAGCACCGCATCTGCGTGCGCGGTTTATATTCTTTGTATGGATTTCCCTACACCAACTCCGTTTTTTTTGAGTGTCTACGCTATTGGTGACCGACCGGGTGAGATGACCTTTACAACGTCACCGGGTTTGGGGACGGCGAGATCCTAAGGGGACCTCAAGCGTAGAATTGGCGAGTGCCTCTGGAGGTATTTCAGGCGGATGGCATATTTCCACGGGGGGGGGGGGGGGTTCTCCTCTCCGTGTGGAGCCTCTGGACCACTCGAACCTGAGGTCGTCGGTGAGTCGCTTTAACTAGAGGGCGTCTCTGAGACTCGGATCTCGGCTCTAGTTAGCCATTGTCGTGGGGGGCGGGGAAAAACGCCCATTTACGGACCTGTACCTGGTGTAGTAATAGTGTGTCGTGTGACCAACTCCGTACCGTCACCTCCACGCCTAGCTCGCAAGCTGTCCGCACACGCGGGCGGCGGATGCACACCGTGGTCACAGCGGTGACACTCTGTGTACGTGAGAGTTCCAGCGTCAGTGACCTTGAGCAGGAGCGTGTATGCGCTAGGGTTGAACTTGGAATTTAGACTTGTGCCAATGAATATTTACGCATAGTAAGTTATTAAATGTAAACTGATTCAAGGATACTGGGGTAAATAATGAAGGATAGGTTTGATTTTATAATCAATTTTTAATGGACGATATATAACAAATTGCTAACTTTTATATATTTTCTCCTTTTTCGATTCGTTTTATAATTCTTATTATTATCTAAATAATAATAAGATTGCGTAGCGTAGTCAGTCTGTGCGTGCAATGCAGTTAGGGTTGCCACCTTTTTTAAGTCCAAATAAAGTACATTGGATATGAAAGGTAGAAAAAAAAGTACATTGTGTCCAAAGTAAAGTACATTTTAATCCACTTTATTAGTAAGCTTAAAATATATTTTACGGTGCTTATAGCAATATTTAATAAATAATTTGTGGCTACTAAAAATCTGTAGTTCTTATCCGCAATGGGAAAGACCATTGTACAAAGCCATACAGCCGCGACAATGTTGCAGGAATGGGCTAAGGGCGACATATTATACATACTGTTGTTCCGTTTTACGCAAAAAATCTTCCTATCCTCTTTATTTATATTATATGTAAAATTAATTCCCAAGTAATCAAATCACATTAAATAAAGTATTTTCGCGTACTTTATTGTTGGCATAAAGTATAGAGTACAATTACCCGAAATAACGTACAATACTTTATAATAAAGTACGGGTGGCAACCCTAAATGCAGTGCAACGCTATTATTTTACTATTTCGCTACTGCCATCCCTTCGGTCGAGGCAGTCGGCGACTGCCTTCTCCACGCCCCGCGCGCCGCGCAACGCCCCCGCACACCTCCAGACACCCACACATAGCCGCGGCCGATTTTACGAGCACACATGCTTAAGTGTCGCTTCTTTTCGCGTAGTGTATATATTCTGTGCCGTGGTGACCATCCGCTGCTCGCATGCGAGAGACGTGTTATATCGTACATACTACGCGCTCTGTCTCGCTCGCTCGTATGGCGGGCCGTGTGGCCGCTGCGCCGCCTCCACCCGTGGCCCACCCGACGTCAGCTGGTTGACAGCGCGGCGTCGCGCGCCAAGGCTGTGCTGGTCGGGTAGGTCAGGTGCGCTATGACCTTATTGCAACAAAATTCATATTATAGTCATTCCAATTGAATTTTCATTTATATACATACTTACCTAACATTAATTGGGATACAAGTTATTAACCCACATATGACAAGTAAATATTTGAATTTGAATATCGTCAAATAGGTAACTGAAATATTCCCCGCAAAGGGCGTTATCTGTTTATCTTATCTTCGTTTCGAAAAATTTCTTAATCAATAATATATCAAAAAGATATCGATGCTAACTTATTGATTGATATGATTACGAATCGAAATTTATTTAATAGTGTTGTTGTGGCTGATTTGTTTTGCCGAATTCGAGCTTTCACCGCGTCCGTCACGCAGTGTGGAGGTGTTTCTGAGACAGATGTCACTCTCAAATTCGTTGACACTTTTGTCATTGAATGCAATTAGATCGAAAGGTCTGTGTGTTACCACCTACGGCTTGCCATTGTGGCTTAATCTGAGTAGTCGAATGAACTTTTGGAACATTGAAAGTCTGCAGCTTTGATTGAACACAGCTCTAGATTAGATCCACTTTCGAGTGACAGAGTTACATTCCGGTATAAAAGGGGTATCGTACACGTTTTGTACGTAAAGTACAAAAAAAAACGAGTGTGCTTATGACCACACGACTGTAGTAACACTTCTTTAGCTCCATCTGTGTGTATTGATATATATATATATATATATATATATATATATATATATATATATATATATATATATATATATATATGCTTTCTCGTGCTTAGATCCCCCACTCAACTCCCGGTCGCCTCGCCCGAACACAGTTTTCGTAACGCGTAACGCATTCGCCAGGTTACCCCCTAAGTCAAGCGTGCATAAAGAAGTTTCACTTAAAAAATGGTTGCCTGTAAAGTCGGTTTTACGGGCGAAGATTTTACGTGACAACGTCTTTTTCTCGGTAGAATATTTATTGATATGAATATAATTAAATTGCACAATAGGAACAAGGAATTGAATGAAAATAAGAATTGCACAAATTTTAACTATAGAAATATATTTTGTTTACTAAAACATTGTACATGTAAACTTAAACTTAACACGAGAGACTCATCGTAACGTTACCGAGCGTTACACTTTTTCATAAGTGACTCCCAGCCGCAACCTAATTTAAGACGTTGTCACGTCAAAAAGTAAAACAAGACGCTATCGTACAAGGTTAATAACATTTTGAGTTAAAGCCATTACAATGTTTTATTTAGGGATATTTATATATATCTTCGTGATGTTTATTTTTCTTGTCATCGCGGCAATAGAAATTTAGGGAAGATTACAACTTTCTACCATTTAGGTACGTTACGTTTCAGGCCCTCTGACCCAACGGCGGACATTGGAGTCTTAGTAGTAGATTTCCGTTGTTATCCTAAACGGTACGAAACCATAAAAGTATTGTCGGAATGTAGGTGCTAAACAATCAAAAAGAAAACCTCATATTATAAGAAAATAATGTGCGTCCCGCAGAATAGTACCCGTAGCACAAAACGTATTCAAAGGTACTTCTTTTTAGTTTCGACAATGACATTTCGGACTCGCAAACTATTCCAATTCAATATTGGTTCGTGCTAAGGGTGCAGAAAATTTCTGTTCTGTAGTGCCTCCTATAGAGTAGTGAATTTTGACTTGCGTGTTGTTTGAACTAGGGCGACGATATGTCAATCTCGTTTATGATTATGATTCAAAGTTGAAAATGTATTCAGTTGCATAACCTCGTATATTATTATGTATTGTTAACATACTGTTTTTATTAGCCACAGTAATGTTATCTAATGATGATATACAAACCGCATATCAGCCGTGCGGTGGTAATACGAAACCATTGCCATCACAGTTGGCCTTGATGTAATTATAAATGCATCTGCTGGACGTTGAGATATGAAATGTAGCAATATTGACTATGCATTGCTGCGTGCCTATCACTTCGTTTTTAAATGACAGGGTGTTCATTGCGCATTGTGTGTGGAATTCTGCGATTTGCCTTTTTCTATTTAGTAGTGAGTAGGCGTATAGTTATCTTACTTGCATAATGCGGTCTTATGACATGGTAATGTACGGTGTTGTGATCATAAAGTAAAGCATGGGTTACACTGGTAGCGAAAGTAGGTTCTTTTGTTCCTTTCACGTAATTTAACTCGCAGTAAAACCCAAGTCTCATGAAATTGCACGGCGTCGGGCAGTCTCGGTGTTTTTCGATACTTCCTGAGCTCCGCCAGTTTAGAAATGGCGTTGCTCTGCAGCCCAGTCCCCCTAGCATGAGCACCACAATAAATTTACATTAAGTATATCTCGTTTTTTACTGCGTCTATCTGTCAAACTCCATAGTAATTTGACTTTTGTTTTTATCTAAGCACCCAGCTCGATAAATTCATTATTCTCCTTCGTCGCAAGCGCGGAGTAGCATTATACGGTATCAACCAAGCAAACATAGGAGTGTAAAGTTGATATTACTATTTGCACTTTTTAAGTTACATGACTTTGTTTGTACGGTCGTTCTGTATTCCATAACATCCACATGCACGAAAGTAAACTTTATGTGCAAACACTTACAGATTGATAAGAACCAACCAACCAACAACACAAACCACCGACCGACTGTGTACTTTGCAAGCTTTAAGTCTGTTTAAATAAACGGTGTTGTTGTGTTGTATAAATTATTGGACGTGTGCCAACATTCTCGAGTTGTGTTGGCAAATAATTGCCTTTTGGCAATTGATATAAACACAGTTGACAAACAACGATTGAATTATTGCAGTATACAGGATAGTTCAATTAGTGACGTCAACAATTTTTTTTAGATTCCTCGCACCTGGGGTATCCGAAAATACCCCATGTATGTTCCGCGATTTTTCTTAGTTTTCGAGTTATATTTTTTTTTGTGTATTTTTAATGATTTCTGCCAGCGAGGTTTCAAAAATTCCTATATTTTTTCG